CACATATCCATCACATTATGGTTGATCTCTCACAAAGTGAAGATGCTTGTCCAGTTTCCTCTTGAAGGCTTCTACACTTGTTCTAGCCATGTTTCTGATATCTTCTGGTAAGATGTTGAATAGTCTGGGACACCGGATGTTGATCCAGTGTTCCCTTATTGTCCCCACTGTACCTATGTTCCTCACTGGGTTTATTTTGCACTTTCTCCCATATACCTCCCTGCCCATTGCATGAAATTACAGCTTCCTTATCTTCATCAACATTTAACGGTTCCTCAAAATATTCCCTCCATCTTCCTGATACTTCCAACTCTCCATCTAATAACTGTCCTCTCCTATTTTTAAGGTGCTTCTACTACTAGGCAACATGCAAGATCAGCAATCAAGTAATTTTTCCTGAAAGCCACAACAATTATCTTTGAGACAAACTTGATATACAAGTATATGACATACAACAGTTCTGTATTCAGAAAACTATTGTTATTTCATATTAGGAATTAAAAGACTCAACAACAGCCCAACATCCAGCCAATTTTCATGAATCATATATGCTTTAATTTCTCACAAAAAACACATCTTTCTAACCTATAGTATATATTTTAACCCTTAAACTGTCCAAATGTAGCTCTACATTCACTTGCGTAGCACTCTGAATGTAGATCTACATTCAATTTTACATGCTTTATGTAAAAAAAAAATGTAGATCTACGTTTGGAGTGCTACACGAGTGAACGCAGATATACGTTTGGACAGTTTAAGGGTTAATATACGGTTTATCCAAAAATTCTGGACAAAGAAAAAAACTAAAGAACTACCACCTAATAATACCTTAAAATAAATATTTTACAACTTCGGTCATCCAGATGATCCTTGGGCTTCAAGTTCCCCTCCCTTCCCTTCTACAAACCAAAACACACCAGAATTAAATTTTGTCAACAGACCAAATAGGAATTAACACAATAGCCCCTCAAAAAAAAAGCAAACATAATCAATGACAGAATGGACCACACCACCTTCCTAAGAATGAAAAAAAAAAAAAAAAAATGCAAATTCCACAATGGATCAAACTTATAACAGTAAATAAGAGAACTACCATAATCAACACTCAAAACAATGGTGTATGTGATCATCTTTACATGGTAGATGTGAACATCTTTAAATTCAAAACTCTAAAAAAAATGTATTCTAAAAAAATTAAGACCAAAATTGCTGAACAAAGGTATATTTATGCAGTACTGTACAGACAAGATAAACATTGAAAAGTTCAGGCAGAAAAAGTACATGTTCAATACTGGCAAAGCAACTTCAGAATGCTAAGAATTAATCAAAAGATACAGTATTCAAAATACTTGTGTGTTTTACATATGCAATGCTGATAACATTTAATTTCATTTTCTTCCACATTTCGGAAATCTTTAGAACTTTATGCAAAACATATGAACATATGCACTAAATCTTACAATGCACATGTCTTCAACTTGCTTCAAATATCACATTTCAACTTATTACAGTCTGTAATTAATAGAAAATACACATACCTTTGCTTCATATTCCTTGAACTGTCGCTCTCTCTCCTGCTTGAATTTATCTATTTCTGCTTGGGCTTCATCTTTAGCCTGCTTCAACCGTCGAGCTTTACCTGTGTATAAAAATGTACAAAAAAATTTAATTAAAATTACCTTTATTTCTCAAAATTAAAAATCCTATCCCTAAGAAAAATGTACTGTCACTTAAAATATACATTTAAATTTTGTTTAGAAACAAGGATTTTCCAAATGTTCCTCTATACAGTATTTAATTCTAAGATCACTTAAAGTAATCACCCATTTGTAGCTACAAGAGCAGAGCTATTTTGTGGTGTTTTTCAGTAATATGTACAACTTACCTTTTAAATTTACTTCTCCCACTAGATATTTTTCTAGAAAAATCTCCCAGTATCCCTCTGGCTCCACTGTCTTAATTCATATTGTGGCATCATCTTATCCCTAATTAAAAGTAATGTCTTTAATGTCATTATCTATTCCTTCATAACCATGTATATTTTTTCATCTATCAGCCAGCATGAGCACCTTTTAGGGTTTTGAGTTCTAACTCTCTTTTTTAGGTCCTAATTACATTTTGTAGATGCTCTCAGAACCATCTAATCTACCCTTTCAATTTGTGGATGCCAAACATATCTATTTCAATTTAAGCCTAATGCAAGTTGCAAACTGTATTTTTGCATATTTTTCAGCCATACACATGAAAGCTGTTTTATAGTTAGCCAATACAACATGTGCATTTCTCAATTTCCAGATAATTTCTTTATGCTTTTTTAAGATTCTCCCAAAATTTTGTCAATTATATTTATGTGGAAGATTCTATATTCTTTACCTAAGTAGACCAAATTAATACCTTAATGAAAAAGGTTAGAAAATTTGAAAGGCAACAATGACCCTTCATAAAACAGTCAATATTTTTCAACCTTTATACCTTTCATGAATTCCGAGAGTTTTTCTACTCCAAGGAGGCTTCAATTTGAATGAACAATTTATTCCATCAACTTTCCCACAATTGAAGTTAGGTTGACTGGCTTATAATTTGAAGTTATGGATCTATCTCTTGCTTTGCAAATGAGTATCTCATTTGCCATTTATCAGGTACAATACCTGTATGGAGTGATCTGTTGAGACTACCTAATGATTTGGAACAGTCTTCCTTACAGTCCTTCAAAACCCTTTAAAACAGCTCATCAGGTCCTGGTGACATCCTTGGCTTCAACTTATGTGAGGACTATATATCTAGTGACTAACACAGCATAATCTATCATCACTCTGACCAGCACAATTACTCATTTCTTGAGTTTCGTTTGTATCTTGTATGTATGTATATACCTGTTACAGTTAAGTGAGCCTATCTTCTCCCTTATTCTTATATACCTAAAAGATTCAAACAATTTCACATTCTCTTCTCTTGGCTTTCCTTGCTCATTTTATTTTACTTTTCTTAAATTGAATTAAGATTATTTGAACGCTAAGGATAACCTAGGTTGTCTAAGGATAAGATTATTAAAAAACATGGGGTTTAATAAAACTATCAAAGTAACAGTATGAATAAATGGCAATACAAAACAAATATGACAATTTTCGTTATAAAACCTTTGCCGGGAGAAGGTTGTAGAAATATAGTGAAGTGCAAGAGTATGAAAGCCTACTGTAATCTGGAGAATTCATCAGGTTGGCTCTCTCTCATGTTACACATAATAAACTACTGCACAGAATTATAGTTCTATTCAGCACAGAATTGTTACAAGACAAGAGCACATTTGTGCAGTGTTTTAAAAACTGAGGTTGGAGAGTTGAAGGAGGAGGTCTTGCTTCTCCAGGAGGAGATTAGGAGGCTGAAGGTCCACCTCAATGGGCCTGGGAGAGAGTGTGAGGTGGTTGGAGATGTGGGGAATGAGGCTTCTAGCAGTGAGGTGCAGTCTGTCTCTCACTGTGAGGAGGCTGTAGGTGGGGAGGTAGCAACGGCTACCAGCAGTGAGGTGCAGCCCAGCACCTGCTACAAGTGGCGAGTTGTTCACAGTAATGGGAGGCGCATCAGAGTAAGGAAAGTTAAGAGTGAAGATCTGAAGGTAGGAAATCGCTTCTCTGTTCTCCAGGATGAATGTACTTCAGTGGCCAGTGAAGGTAAGGGTACTACTGCCCCTGCTAATGAAGGTAAGCGCATTCTTGTGGTTGGTGACTCTCAGGTAAGATATGTTGACCGTGCTTTTTGTAATAGGAATAAGAAGATGAGAGATAGAGTGTGCTTCCTGGAGCTGGTGTTGGGGACATTGTCAACAGACTGGAAAATATCATGTCAGGTAATGGGAAAAACCTTATCTGTCTAGGGTGGAAATGTATTGGGGGTAGGAGAGAAGGCTGCTAGATAAGTACGGTCAGCTATGATTTCATTAAGAAAGGGAGGGACCCCAATATATGTGCATCTTGCCTAGAAGGGGAGTAGGAAAATGAAGGGTTTGTCTAGGGCAATTGGTGAAAAATTGTGGCTAGACGATACTGCAAGGAACTTGCAACCCCATTCATTGACAATGGAACAACTTTTATGGCAAACATGTTGTATGCAAGGGAGGGGTTCATCTCTTGGGCGGGGGGTGGTAGCCTTGAGACTCGATTGAAAAGGCCTTTGGTGAAATGCCTTGTTTTTAAATGATGAAGATAGGGTATGGGGTTGTGGGGGAAAAACAAGCAGGTTGCAACATGGGGTTGGAAACAGTAAAGTAAAAAAGGGCCCTTCAGCTGAAGTTATAAAAAAGACAATAAAAAACGGTCAGCAAAAAAGGGGACAGCGGGGGCGAAAGGGGGACTAGCCCCCTTAAAGGTTTACTATACAAAAGCAGGATGTTAGAAATAAGATAGATGAGTAGGTTTAAATTGCAAGTGCAGGAAACATGATATTTTGCTATAACAGGACCTGGCTCAAATTGAAAGTAGGGATGCCCTCTGAATGTCACAAAAAGGTATAAATTATTCCCCATGCGGGTCAAAGGAAAGGTGGGGAAAAGTAGCGATGTTGTCAGAGAAAATTTTAAATTTTGTTGTGTTAGACAAGATTTTTAAATTAGAAGGTCACCCACTGAACTGTTTGGTTACAGCTTTGGGGGCCCAAAAAAAAAAAACTAAATTTTGGGTGTGATTTAAAGGGCCCCAAATCTTGATGGGAGTGCAGTAAACTTCTATGGGACGAAATTTTTAAGGCCTTACTCAAAAATGTTTGCTAATGGGAGATTTCAATATAGACAGATTGACTGGAAAAATTTGACAGGAAATTTAGGCGGGGTCTTTCTTGATACTCCCGGGTTGTTTTTTTTTAAAACAGTTTGTGACGAGCCAATAGGGGGAAATAAACTCCTTGATTGGTTCTTGCCGTGGGGGAACACTAATTTAAAAATCTTGAGGTTAATGATGAGCTTGGGGGGGAGTGATCACAAATCACCAGTTTTAAAAAATTTAGGAAATTCCCCCAATAATGGCAATCAAGTCTCCATCCCCTGACTTTCGTTGGCTGATTTCAAAAGGGCTGAAAAATTTTTAGGGGGGCTGAACTGGAAGACCTGACTGGGGTGGAGGGGGTTTTTTGGTTGCCGATATGTGCTTTCCCGGGCATAGTTCTAGTGCTCAGTCAAATTATGTTCCAAATAGGAAAAACAGATCAAAAAAAATGATCCTAAATGGGTGAAACAATAGATTAAAATATCGTTGGTCAAAGAGAGGCTTTTAGGCAAATCAAAAAAGGGAGGGGAATTAAGAAATCGATTTTTATTTAGTTAAAAGAGGAAAAAAAAAAGGGAAAAATTTGAAAAGCAAAAAGAGATTTGGGTTAAAAATTGCAAGAGAATCGAAAAATAACCCCAAAAAGGGTTCTTTCAGGTATACGAAGTAAGTCAGGGGCAAGATAGGCCACTCAAAGTTCCTCGGGCAGCTACTGCAGTGATAGGAAATGTGTAGAATTTTTACACATACTTCCTCTCAGTTTTTACACAGGAGGATACCAGCGATATTCCAGTAATGATAAATTATGTAGAAACAGGACGTAATAAACTGTGCACTATTAGGGTCACAAGTGACATGGCCCTTTTAGGCAAATAGATAAATTAAAACCTAACAAACCCCCCCCAGGCCCTGATGAACTGTATGCAAGGGTTTTCTAAAGGAATGTAAAGAGGAGCTTAGCACACCTTTGGCTAATCTTTTCAACATATCACTACAAATGGCATGGTGCAGATAAGTGGAAAATGGCAAATGTGATACCTATTTTCAAAACAGGTGACAGGTCCTTAGCTTCGAACTATAGACCATAAGCCTAACCTCCATAGTGGGAAAATTTATGGAATCAATAATTGCCGAGGCAGTTCGTAGCCACCTTTGAAAAGCATAAATTAATCAACGAATCTCAGCATGGTTTTACAAAAGGGGCGTTCCTGCCTTACGAATTTATTAACTTTTTTCACTAAGGTATTGAGGAGGTAGATCATGGTAATGAATATGATATTGTGTATATGGGACTTCAGTAAGGCTTTTGACAGGGTCCCACATCAGAGACTATTGAGGAAAATTAAAGCACATGGAATAGGAGGAGAAATTTTTTCCTGGATAGAGGCATGGTTGACAAATAGGCAGCAGAGAGTTTGCATAAATGGGGAGAAATCAGAGTGGGGAAGCGTCACGAGCGGTGTTCCACAGGGGTCAGTGTTGGGCCCCCTGCTGTTCACAATCTACATAAACGACATAGATGAGGGCATAAAGAGCGACATCGGCAAGTTTGCCGATGACACCAAAATAGGCCGTCGAATTCATTCTGACGAGGACATTCGAGCACTCCAGGAAGATTTGAATAGACTGATGCAGTGGTCGGAGAAGTGGCAGATGCAGTTTAATATAGACAAATGCAAAGTTCTAATGTTGGACAGGACAATAACCATGCCACATATAAACTAAATAATGTAGATCTTAATATTAGGGATTGCGAAAAAGATTTAGGAGTTCTGGTTAGCAGTAATTAAAAACCAAGAAAAACCGTCCCATATGTGTTCGCAATAAAGCAAATAGAACCCTTGGCTTCATATAAAAGAAGCATAAATAATGGGAAAAGTCCTTTCGGTTGTTTTTAATTTCTATCATCCTTGGTTGGGCCCTTTCATTTAGATTATGTTTGCACGTTTTTGGTCCCCCGTATTACAGAATGGATATAAAATTCTCTGGAAAATGTACAAAGGAGGATGAAAAAAGATGACCCCAAATGATCAAAACCCTTTCCCAAATGAGGTGGGACAAAAGGGCCCCCCTTGAAACTGCACTTCTAGAAAGACGTAAAATTTAAAGGGGGGATATGTTTAGGTTTTTTAGTGGAAAAACAGGAATAAATAAAGGGGATGTAAATAGTGTGCTGAAAATATCTAGCTGACAGGACTCGCAGCAAGGGTTTTTAAATTTGGGAAAAAATTTCAGATTCAGGGGGATATAGGAAAGTATTTGGTTTGGAAATAGAGTTGTGGATGGGGGGAAAACAAAATACCAAGTCCCTTTTATAGAGGCCAAAAACGTTTTTGTAGCTTTAAAAATAGGTTGGTAAATCCATGAGTAGATGGGGGGTGGGTGTGAGTTGGGACCTGATAGCTTGTGCAAAACAGGTCGGTTGCCGTTTTCCCCCCTTTAAAGTAAAATTGTGCCCTGCCCTGACTGGGTTTGGGGTGCTTTGGGGCTTAACCCGGTAGGGACTTGGACCTGCCCGCATGGGCAGTAGGCCTTCTGCAGTGTTCCTTCGTTCTTTGTTTTATGTGGGGGGGTTTGGTGGGGTTGGGACCTGTAGCTTGTGCAAACAGGTCGGTTGCCGTGTTCCTCCCTTAAGTCAATGTAAACCTGCCCTGATTTGGAAAGGAAATGGTATGGTGATCCCGACAAAAATGGGGAAAAAGACATTTTTTCCGTTCGGGGACAT